AGCAACGAGCTACACCAGGGAGGGGTGAGGACGGGGCTCCCTGTGCCCCACGCTCCCCTCCTCGGCCCCAGGCGACTCCTTCCACCCCTCCAAAACTAGCAGCAGATCCAGCGGTGACAGCACTTGGGGCTCCATCCCTGACATGAGCTGACCTGGGCCTCAGCTTCCTCCTGCATGAGCTGGTTCAGGGGCAGCAGTCGCTGCCTGTGCCTGGGGAGCTTTATAATCGGGCTAAATGACATGAAACAGCCATCAGTGGGGCCTGGTCCAGCACAACGTGGGCTATGGGGCAGCCACAGAGCGAGGGGCTGGGACCCCGTTCCCTGCCCCCCAGCCCAGGCAGTGCTGCCGCAGGCCCCGGCTCCCCCGGAGCTTGTGACCTCATTATGGAGCATATTCTAGAACCACCAGAGAGAGACGGTTTTGGAAGGACAAGGACAAATGCCCAGAGAGAGGCACTTTCCATGGCCTCAGGCTTCAACATGGGAGATAGGTTGTTGTCCACCAAATACACATCCTCACACATGGAGAGGAAGATGAGCGCTATGGCTTGCACCATCTTCAATGAGCTTCGTCTCGAGGGGAAACTCTGTGATGTGATCATCAGTGTGGGTGGTATCGAATTTAATGCTCACAAGAACATCCTCTGCAGCTGCAGCCACTACTTCAGGTCAGTCAGAGGGGACGGGTGGGATTTCCTCGCCTGGGTCATGCTGCCCTGGTGCATCTCCAGTGCTTACACCGGCACTGAACCCCTCATCCAGCAGTTCCCCACAGCCCTGCTACCTCCTGGGATGCAAGAATTAATCCACAATCCGGTATCTAACAGCTGAAGGGGTGTCTGAGGAATGCCCAGGCACTTATCTGCCATCAGGGAGGAGCTTTTCCTTCCCCACACCCCGTTAGCCTCTGGTACCCTCATTGCAGCAAGGTGACCACTCGCCCTGTTGCTCTCTGTCCGCAGCCAGAGGCTTTGACTCCTTTATAAACCACCCAGCCAGCGAACCATGAGCAAACAAACTACACGTAGCACGGCTACTGCTGGTGCCCGAACGGGTGCCCAGGGGATAACAGGCAGGGTTGAACACAGCAACGCTGGTTTTGCCTCCAGCATCGCTTTGGTTTTCCAGGGCTTTGTTCACCAGCAGCTGGAACAATGCGGAGAAGATGGTGTACAAGATCCCTGGCATTTCACCCGAAATGATGAGGCTCATCATTGAGTACGCCTACACCAGGACAGTCCAGGTCACCACGGAGAACGTCGAAAACCTGCTCATCGCCGCAGACCAGCTCAACATCATGGGCATCGTCAGGCTGTGCTGCGAGTTCCTGAAGTCCCAGCTCTGCTTTGAGAACTGCATCGGCATCTGCAGGCTCACAGAGTATTACTACTGCCCCGAGCTGCAGGAAGCAGCCTTCGTGTTCATCCTCCATCACTTTGAGGACATCACCAAGGTGTCTGCAGAGTTCCTGGACCTCTCCGTCAGCGAGCTGAAGAACATCATTGAGAAGGACGAGCTCAATGCGAGGGAAGAAGACGCCGTGTTCAAGGCTATTGTGAAATGGATTGACCATGACCCGCCGAGCCGGCGGCAGCACATCGCGGAGCTGCTGAGCAAGGTCGGTGCTGGCGCGGGCTCTGCAGGGCCAGAACCGCTTCGCTCCTCTTGTCAGGCCGGAGGAAATTCCCCTTCACACCCCCAGGCTGGTGAAGATCCTGCGCTGGGCTTGGGGCCGAGCTCCAAAGTGCCCGTTTCCTCATGTTCAACTGTTTGTCACAGCCAGGAGGGACCAAAGTTCACGTGGGACGTTATCTCTACACGCACAAGGTCTATGAGCGTTGGCACGAGGGCACTTCCAGTCCGCGAGGAGGAAAGCCCCGTGCCAAAGCAGCAGCCATGAAGTTTACCCTTGCACAGCCCTTCCTGGATGAGCTCTAAGTGGCACATTGAGTTCTCTGGTTCTCTTAAAAGCAAAACCACCCAGCACCGGAGCTCTCCACGACAGACACCATCCGCATCCTAACCCCCTCTCTGTGCTTTGCAGGTTCGACTGGCGCTGATGCAAGCAGAATACTTCATGAACAACGTCAAAACACACGAGTACGTGATGGAGAACGAGGACTGCAAAGGTCTCATCATCAACACGCTGACGGAGATGTACAACCTCAGCATGCACGGGCCCCCCTACTCGGACTTCGCCAACCCGCTCAGCCGGCCTCGCCTGCCCTACGCCATCCTGTTCGCTATCGGGGGCTGGAGCGGGGGCCGCCACCGCCATCGAGACCTACGCCGTCCGTGCGGACAAGTGGATGAACGTGACGAGCGAGCAGGAGAGCCCCCTCGCCTACCACGGCACAGCCTATCTGAAAGGCTTCATCTACGTCGTGGGAGGGTTTGACAGCGTGGATTACTTCAACAGCGTCAAGAGGTTCGACCCGCTGAGGAGAACGTGGCAGCAGGTCGCACCCATGCACTCACGGCGCTGCTACGTCAGCGTCGCCGTCCTCGACGGCTTCATCTACGCCATGGGAGGCTTCGACGGGTACATGCGCCTCAACACGGCCGAGCGGTACGAGCCGGAGACGAACCAGTGGACGCTGATCAGCCCCATGCACGAGCAGAGGAGCGACGCCAGTGCCACCACGCTGCACGAGAAGGTACCCGCCGGGCGACTGGACGCGATTGGGGTTGAGGCCCAGAGCCCAGACCCCCCCCGTGTGCTGGGCTGCACCCTCAGAGACAGCAGCAGGTCAGGGAGGGGATTCTCCCCCTCTGGGGAGACCCCCCCTGCAGCCCTGATCCAGCTCTGGGGAACAGCACAAGAGGGACGTGGAGCTGCTGGAGCGAGGCCAGAGGAGGCCCCGGAGCTGCTGCGAGGGCTGGAGCAGCTCTGCTCTGGAGCCAGGCTGAGAGAGCTGGGCTGGGGCAGCTGGAGAAGAGAAGGCTCCTGAAGGGGACACCTTAGAGCAGCTCCAGGGCCTAAAGGGGCTCCAGGAGACCTGGAGAGGGGCTTTGGACAAGAGATGTAGGGACAGGACAAGGGGAATGGCTTGAACCTGCCGGGGGGCCTGTCTGCCTCATGCAGTTCAGGAAATAAAGGGTCTAAATCCCACTGGCCTCAACAACACCCTGTGCTTTTACTGCTTCAAACCCAGGATGCCAGGACCATTCCCACTGCAAAACAAAACGTCCCCCCCCAAAACCCCATCCAGCCACACCGTTCACTTTCTCTTCACTGCATTCTCCCACCTGGAGTACCAGTGCCCTGCTCACGCTTCGTTTTCCTCCCGTTCTCAGGTGTACATATGTGGTGGGTTCAACGGTAACGAGTGCCTGATCACTGCTGAAGCGTACAACCCCACCACAGAGCAGTGGACCTTAATAGCCTCCATGAGAAGCAGAAGAAGCGGAGTAGGAGTCATTGCGTACCGAAACAAGGTGTATGCGGTAAGGGAGGATGGCGCCTCTGCCCTCACACCCCCCAGCACGTGGAGTACTCCTCCTGGTCTGCACTTCCTGGGCTTCAAGGCTGGCCTTTTGCTCATTTAGTGAGATTTAGGGAAGGAAGGAATAGAATCATAGAACAGTTTGGGTTGGAAAGGACATTAAGATCATCCAGCTCCAACCCCTGCCCCGGGCAGGGACACCTTCCACTAGAGCAGGTTGCTCCAAGCCCCTGTGTCCAACCTGGCCTTGAACACTGCCAGGGATGGGGCAGCCACAGCTTCTCTGGGCACCCTGTGCCAGCGCCTCAGCACCCTCACAGGGAAGAGCTTCTGCCTGAGATCTAACCTGAACTTCCCCCCGTTTCAGTTTGAACCCATCAGAGCCTCCCAAGAACATTATCCCCTGCTCACTTCTTGTTCTGAGAAACGTACAGACAGTTAAGCATCTGCAGCAAAGAAATGATTTTTGGCTGCTGCCAACAGCTTCAGCAGCACAGAGCACTCGCCATGTACTGCATTTAAACCCTGTGACGTCTAAAACCTGACCATTGCACAACATACCTTTGGATATTCCAGGAAGAACAAGGCAGCAGCCTGCAACGAGCACGCGGTGTGTTTTGAGCTGACACGAGGTCAGCAATGCTCAAACTGAGCTCAGTGAGGCAGGGCCAGTTGCCCTCGTGCAGGAAGCTCTTCCCTGCGAGGGTGCTGAGGCGCTGGCACAGGGTTCCCAGAGAAGTGGTGAATGCTCCATCCCTGGCAGTGTTCAAGGCCAGGCTGGAAGGGGATGATCTTAAGGTCCTTTCCACTCCAAACTACTCTGTGATTCTATGACTCTAGGCAATGACTGAGCCAGCTGAGCGGGTGAGGAAGGGCCGGGCTCAACTCCGTGCCTTTGCCATTCCCAGGTAGGAGGATTTGACGGAGTGAACCGGCTTCGGAGCGTGGAAGCGTACAACCCCCTCACCAACATGTGGCACGTGGTCCCCACGATGTTCAACCCCCGCAGCAACTTCGGCATCGAAGTGGTGGACGACCTTTTGTACGTGGTTGGTGGCTTCAACGGCTTTACTACGACTTTCAACGCCGAGTGCTACGATGACAAAGCTGACGAGTGGTACGACATCCAGGACATGAGCATATACCGCAGCGCCCTGAGCTGCTGCGTGGTGCCAGGCCTGTCCAACATCAGGGACTACATTGCCAAGCGAGACAGCCCCGTGGACAGCTCTGCGAATGAAGTCAGGTTCACGTCTTCAACCAGCAGCCTGCCTGTATAAACAGCTCCACTCAGCTAATAAAGCCCCCTGAGCAGGAAGTGAACGTATTGACTTCTATTCTGAAATGAACCAATAAAATTATGGAGGCCAGAAGAAGAATGAGTGTTTAAAACCTTCATTCTAAGGCACCATAAAATGTGTGTTTTGGCCCCGGCCTCCGCAGCACCTGCAAAAACGAAAGGTACAAGAGGATGCTAGAGAAATAAAAGGTTTATTTTTGTTAATTCACTCATTACAATAAACTTTAGTACAGTGTATTTATGGTAAAGAACGTGACAGGAGGATTTGTTTCAAGCCTAGACACACACACTCTACGTTACCTTACTGGAAGCCAGTACAGGCGTGCTGCTCCCCAGGCACTCCTGGAAGTCTACATTAACACAGGAGAGCACCGCTGCCGTGATCCACACTGACACGCACCTATGAGGAGCATCTGACTATTAATGGTCTTCAAACACCTCGTTAGTTCCACACTCTACATTCAGATTAGTAACAGGATTAGATCCTCAAGAGCACCTATTTTATCAGACTTCCACTTCAGGACTGACAACTGGAGATGTGATTTATACCCTGACATAACGTGGACACAGCTGGTAAGAAATCTAAGCCATCCACCACTTACTCGAAGCTTGCTTTTTTAAGCCCATTGAGAGTTACACCACACTGTTACTAGGTTGTGTTAAACAGAACCCAAACAGTTGCAATTCTTTGTGACTCAGTCTGTCAGATCAGTTGATTCCCTGACACACGAGTTGAGCCAATAGTTCTGATCTTAACTGTGGTGGAGAAAGATGCTATTGAAATAATATTGCAGAATGCTTGGCATAGCTGCTCAGAACGCATGCTAAGAAGTTGGCATGTCTTCATTTCATTACAAACCCAGCGTACTAACAGAGTATTCAGGTAGTTATAAAATACTATGTACACACGTGGCACCCAGAAACGACTACAGTGACCGCCAAGCGTGAGGCAGGACGTGTCCTGCTCCACTGATGCTTTGAGCAGAAAGACAGGACACGAAACATGCATCTTGTGGCACATACTTGGTACAGGTGGAGAGATATGATTGTCATGAGGAGGAGGAAAAACTCCTCCCGGTGCTCTTTTACATTAGTAAAGCCAGAAGTTGGCCTTCAATACTTACTGAATACACACTAGGGCCACAGGGAAGTTGTTGTGAGACTCACAGGTTAGTGGGCTACAAGAGAGTCAATAACGCAACTCTTCCAAACACCTACACGTGACACAACGGGTAGTTAAGACTTGTCAATTCAAACCCCTGTGCAGTGCAATTGGTCCACTTAAAGTCAAGGTTAAAAAACCCCAGACAAACCCAAAGCCTTTAAAAATCCACAGAAGTGGCATAGCAAGAGTTAGAGCAAGTGCAGCTGTGCCCCTCACTCACCATGCAGACACAGCACACGGGTCCAGAGCGTCACGTACGGAATCACGGCTGGCATTCCCGTGCTCTGGATGCTAAAGCTGTTCTGACACTGTCTTGGAGTGGAATGTTTTCAGTGAACTATGTTGCTTGTGTGTCAGCCAAAAGTTCTCGTGGTAAGTGCAGTACCAGTTTTGCTTAGAAAGACTGCAGGAAGTTTGTTCTTGCACCTAAGGTGGCTGCGTGCTGCCACATGTTAAACTGATCGGTTCATCTTCCACCTGAAACAACCACCTTGGCATTTCTCCCTGCAGGTTGTCCCTATTAGCTGACAGGCCACAAGAGGGCTTTGCCAGAGCTGGGGTGGTCTGATACACTCCATCCTTTGGCTGCTTGTCACTCCCCTCCAGCCAAGCCAGCGGGTGGAGCACGTCAGCTCTTCTCAATTGTTTCTGTGCAAAGTCTGGTGAAAGATCTTAAAATCAGCTCCCACAAACTGAAGTGAGATCAATGGATTTAGCTCTAGTTCTTAAACTACTCAAGCTAGACCTGCAAGAGCTCATGGGCCAAACTCCACTGACTATCTCCTTGCTCACAGGCTGACCTGGTAACAGTCACTTCTGGACATCAGCCTTAAACCTGAGCAAACTTTACCTATTTCCTCTCTTAGGCCAGCATCGGACAGTTTAATCTGCTTTAACAATCCAACAGGCAAATAAAATACAACAGAGTTACTACAGGTGAGTAAATTGAGACAAACTGTTAAGATTTTCCTTTCTTTTTGTTTAAACAAAGCTAGATTATTCTATTACAAACAGACAGGTTATTGATACCCAAAGTGACAAGTGAACTGCAAAGCAGAGCAGTAAGGGCTGTACACATCAGAGAAACCTTGACCCACTGTGTGGTTGAAAGACTTACCCAGTGTTTCAGATCTGATCTAGGTTGGTGCTGAATTGGAAAGTGAGAAGTAACAGCTCAGAAAGCTAAACAACTAAAAAAAACAAAACAGAAATCCAAACTGTTTAGAAGTTCTTTTGCAAAGAATTTGCCCACATCAAAACCACCAGCAAACCATGGGAAGACCCAAAGGCAACAAACACATTCTCCAGCAGTGTTTGTCTAGACGAGTTCTGGAACACCCTGCTTACTCCTCCCTTTCCCTTCCCTAAGATCCTGAGTTAGGCTGCATGTGAACGCCTGGCACATTCAAATGAAGGGAAGGATGGGGATGAAAAGGAGGTAGGAAGGATGCACTCAATCTGTTGGGGCTCTTGGGATCAGGGAGGAGGGGAGTTCAGTGGGGCAGTGATACTCGGCAGGAAATCTGCCATTTCTGTTCCTTAGAGGACGTGAACCAGAGCCAGCCCAAGCACTGGTTTATGTACCCCCCCCCCAGCACACCAAGGTACTGAAATCAGCTGCAATCTTCCCATCACACCACGGGGGGAAACTCAACGACTGAGACACCTTGAAAACTCAAGTGTCTCGCTGCAAGAGGACACAAAGTGGGGACTTGTGCTGGAGCACAGGGGAGAGGGTACCAAAGGCAGAGTTCTGATTGTCAAAGACAGGCTGGAAACGGGCTCAAGGGGCTCTTCTAATCACTGGGATTAAAAGGTGTGTAACACCTTGGGAGGGATCTACAAGCAGCTCCGGTTTTGGTCTGTTACTGTGAAATAACCTCGTTCTTACTCCTCTACACCGACAGCAGTAACCTCCCAGTGCTGGTGGGTGGTACTTTGCTGGTATTCACTCCTTGTCTCAGGCTGATGTTGACCCAAGTTTCTAATGAAGCTGTTAAAGACAAACTACTGCCTCAAGTTCCCTGTCCTTGTGTTCTACCAACCATCCAATCACAAGCAAACGCTGCAGCCTCTCTCCAACGTACAGATACGAAATGTTTAATACACACAGAAACATCCTGAAGTAATTTGATAAGGAAAGATTGTGCTTTTGTTTTCATATCCAGATATAACTATTGCACTTGCCTCAGCTTGGGAAAGCAAAGTACACTAACACCAGTTGTATGTGAAGTTTAGCCACTGAGGAGGAGAGAAATCAAAGGAATGTCAATAGATAAGTGCAAATAAAAGAGGTGCTTCCAAGCACATACAAATGTAACCACTAAATTATTAAGACAGGGATCTCTGATTTTCAAAACACAACTGTTGGAGACTAACTCCACAGAAATCCTTGAAACCAAAGATCTCAAGAGAGGAGTAACAGCCTTAATGTTCCCGGGGACATTCCACAGCCACCACTGGCTGCAGCTTTTCCCTGGGCACCAGTGAGTAATACTGTTGGATTCACACAGCTTCCCAACTCCCACCCGTCCTCAACTTCTGAGCTGCTTAATACTCGGTACAGAAAAGATGCCAGTTTTATGCCTCAAACCAAATAAACACCCTCATGCCCTAGAAAGACACCTCCAGCCTAACAACAGACAGTACCTTCTGGACCCATCAGGAGTGATGTTCTACCAACTAGCACTCTATCTGCGAGCGGGGCATCCTGCGTAAGCTCAGGGAGTGTCGGTGTATTTCCTGCATCTGCCTCTCCTGCATTTGTCTTATTCTATCCTTTTGCCACATCAGGTTTTGTGGCATTGGGTATCTCTGCGTGCCCTGCAAGCACCTGAAGGGGATCCTCACGTGGCAGGCTGCTGCTCTGCACCGAGGCTGAGGCATAGGAGGCAGAAGCATCCAGCGCTTCCTCTCCGCGCAGTAGCGATAGGCCTCCTTCCTGTATTGCTTGTCTATATCATCGCTGTTTTTCCACCCCCCGATGATAAAAACATCATCTTTATAATAACAAATAGCTGCTCCTTCAATGCTAAGCACCTCTGGGGGCAAGCTTTCAAGTATTTCATCTGAGGCCCTGCCAGAGATCTTTATCTTGGCTTCCTCGTTATCTATAGGGTAACTCTTGGGGCAGCAGGATGCTGTATGGTAGAAGTTTGTGTTAGCAACAGACATCTGGAAGGAGCAATAGTTATCAATGAGGGGCAGAGACTCCACATCCTGCCACTGCCTCGTGTCAGCATCGTATCTGATAATGACTGCCCTCAGCCCATCCTCACTGTCGCTGTCGACTGGGGTACGAGCAGCAACATAAACGAAGCGGTCTTCTACCGACACAGCTTTGACATCCCGAAGGATCTTGGGGGCTGACTCCAGGTTAAGCCATTTGTCTTGCTCGGGATTATAAATGGCCACATCTTTGAAGCCAGGACTGAAGTTGCCATGGCCACCAATACTGTACAAGTTCCCTTTCACTTCGGTAAGGCCAAAGGAATGCTTTCTGGTTATGAGATTGGAGACTTGCTCCCAAATATTTCTGTTTGGGTTGTACCTTTCTACAGTCTTGGCAAACCCCGGTTCCATGGAGCCGGCCACGTACACGTACGACTCCGTCACAGCAACAGCATGCCCATCGAGGTGATTATGGATGTGGGGCAGGTTCACCCACCTATCCTCATCGATGAAATACCCCACACACTCGCTCAGGTAATCTCCTCCCTCCGACACCCCACCAATCACCATAATGACATCCATGTTCTGCCCAAAACGCGGCAGCAACGCTACAGGACACGTGGAATGCTGCAAGTTACCAGACTGCAAGTTCTCGGACCTCAAGGCGTGACTCTCCACGGCTTCAGACACCAATTTAACACAGGCTTCGTTGCTCGACACCAGCCTTTCGGACTTGACGTGGCGAGTAAGGTAAGTGGGTTTCATCTGGGACAAGCGAAGCAGCTTGAAGAGGTCCTCAAAGTACCTCTCTCTTTCCTCAGGGCTTTTCTGAACCCACTTCAGAACCGTCTCAAAGAGGATTTCTTCCGAGTCCACCGTGATCTCCGAGTCCGAGAGCCAGTCCCTGATGAGGTGGAAGGGCAAAGTGTAGAACTCCTCATCCTGGATAACTCTGTAGAAGTTCCTCCTGATCATGTCCTGCGCTTTGAGGGCCAGCTGGTTCAGGGAGTACATGTGTGCCAGGCTGTGAACCGCCACGCAGTTGGAGAGGTTCAGCTTCTTCTTCAGGAACTCCCCGCAGAACTCCTTCAGCCGGCTCAGGAGGAACCTGCAGGGG